TTTCAGAGTAAAGATTAAAAAGGAGGGGGGGCGGGGGGCGGAACATAGGCACAACAGGGGAGAAAACTTGAAAGTCACCTTACCTTTTGAACACGCCCCATAAAATGATGAGTATTCATATAATAATAATATAGTATCATATAATAATAATATAGTATCATATAATAATAATATAGTATCCTCGTTATAATAAAATAACTTTAACAAAATTAAAAAAATGAAAATATATGGTTTTGATGACCTTGCAAAATGATAAAACCACTTACGAATATATCATTCTGTTGTGGTGAGCTCCCAAGTATATTAAGAATCGGTAGAGTTAAATAAGGGAAATTCTTAAAAAAAGAAATTTGAGTGCAAAGTTGACTGTGCAAGTGACTGTGACGGTTATTTCGAAGAGTTTCGACTATAAAAAAATCATAAAATATTTTCGGCATGTAAAAGTATAGTGTCTTGATCGATACTTGGGGAGGAATGTCATGTTGGGATCTTCTGCGATCTCAGCAAGGCGCTGAACAGTGTCCATCATAATAGGTTTTTAATTTTTATAAAAAATATATGGTTTTGTTGGTGGTTCTTCTCATTGCTTGAGATTGAGTTTTTGAAAAACAACTGGTATCCAAGATATTGGCAAATTTCAGCCAAAGTTTTAGCTTTCCAAAAATATAACAATAAGGTTTCGAATTCGAGTCTGTTTCTGTTCTTTAGATACAAGTGGCAACAATGCGACACGGAAAATATTTTAGATCGACGGAGGAATATCGAAAACGTATGTGACAAAATTTTCAGCACATTGCTTCATCTGAAAACTCCTAATGTCCTTCATCAAATATGAGACGCCCTGTATATGAAATTTGGTATGTGGTTTTGTATTACGTAACACCAAAGACAACCACAAATCAGTTATTTTAATTTATGCGTCATCAAATCCATCTCGGAATACTCATCTACCGTATGGAAACTGATCTATCGCATGTATGTCGATCGGATAGAGAGTGTCCAAAAAAAGATTTTTAGAAACCTTAATTTTGGATATAATAGAGACAGACACTACTTTTCGTATGAAAATAACCTAGAGTTTTATAAATTAAGTAGCAGGAATTGCTCAGACGTAATTTTTCTTTAAAAAATTGTCAAATTGTCAAAATTGTACAAGTCACTTATCTTTTAATGCTTATCGAATGCACACACACTAGGCTAACTTTTCTATAGAAAGAATCAGATCTAATTACTTCTTAAACTCAGATATACTAGTATGTGTTTTGCTCAACAACGAAGATACGGACTTATTCAACTTAAATACATCTGTGAAAATTTTGTAACATTCTTTTAATTACTGTCTATTAGCTTAGGAAATATCTAGATAAGTTTCTTTTGTATTGAGCAGCAGCCGTTTGCCTGTCGGTTAGTCTTTGAGGTCATAAAGTAAAAATAAAGGAATAAAATAAGTATTTAAACCACATGGAAACCCAAATTCAAGGGAATAACCTGACCGTAATAGAAAGTGAACTTACGAAAACAAGTAATTCTTGTCACAGGGGATGTAGGTAGATTTTGCATTCGCTAGGTCTTAATAGCAGCCCTTCATTAAAGCATAACGACGCTGCACCTGCGGTTTCGAACCTCGGGATCGTCTTTATTAAGTGAATTTACAACGCCGGATAGTCTCCGCTTATCTTTATCGACAATGTGCACATTATTCCCCGCTTCGATCATTGTTGGTTAACGAAGACGATACACTCCATTAAATTTTCACGGAATAACAATCCAACGCTGGGAAATGTTATCTAGATCATCCTCAGTATACGGTGGCAATAAAATTTGGTGAAATTAATTCCGCAGAATATACGAAGTTGTTACGTTTTTGCCTGCAATGCCGATTTGTTTAAAATCCTTTTTAAAGTACACAGTTATTTATTATATTTTGACACCCACGTACAGCGTTAATTTTGAAATATAGAAAAAAAAGTGTAAATTCAAATGTTTGAGCATATCTGATCTATTGTCTTATGCAAATGTCAAAAAAAAAATATACGACTATCGCAAGCTGTCAAAAAGCCGTATACTTTATTAGCCTAAATCGTAGATTTATTTTTTCGTGATTTCAAAAACATATGGTTTATTGACATTTTAATTAGCCGTTTGTGTGATATTTCAGTTTAAAAATATTTATCATCCGATTTCTGGACAATATCCATATTGTTTAAAAATGGTCAAGTCTTCCTTGATAGCAACCGTATTATAAAAGAGAAAATAATTTCAAATCATACCACCAACTGCCATCTCAAACAGCTAATGAAATTCTTAAAAAATCCAAACCCCCTAAATTTAATATTCCAAGGCCAAAGGAAAACTGATATTTGTTTTACAAATAAATTGCGATATAATGGGCAATCATGGAAGAAGACACATTCGGGGAATCATCTAAAATGTTAATGCTATTGAAAAATTTCCCATACAATCAAACATACCAGATATTAAAAAAAAAAAAAACTAAATGAAGCACAAATATGGAACCTGATAAAAAAAGACTAATAAAGATGAAACAGGAAATAAAAGGATACAAACTGAGAGAATGAGAAACCAATTTTTTTAATTATATGGAAGTAGAAATAAATCCAATTTGCAGAGTAAAAGTGTAGTAATTTATAAGCATTTTAAATAGCTGCCAAATAATTAATTCTAATATTCAAGATAAGGATATAATTTTTAAAGTTCTAACTATAATGTGTCTGGAACATCCAAGACTTCTATAATAAGACAACCTATATGAAAGAGAAAACAAAATCCGCAATTCAGGGAAAAACTGGCAGAAGTTGATGAAACCAGAAACCTTAGTACACCAGAATTTCAACGTTTATAACATTTGATTAATTATATTTAGTTCAACATAAGGTAGTTAATAGGGTCTTTAAATAATCTGTTATTTCAGCGCATAGGTACAGTAAGTATTTAATTGAACTAAATTTGGAATAAAAACATAGTTTCTACCAGAATATTTATCAACACACCACAAACAGACTTGGCAGCCAAATTTTTTATCTGTTCATGATTTACCAAAATATTCAAAAACCAACGTTACATTTAAAAATTTCATTGCATTTCTCATTTCACGTGTTTTGATGATTTTGCAAATAAACATTTGTAGTGTCCTTTTGCGGTGTTTGAAAAAAAGCCAAGCATTTTTTTCTGGCCTGTTTTTCTTATATCGGTAGCTTTCACATATATGCGGTAAAGAATACATTGGAGAATCCGGACCAAAAATATCATCTAAGCTCAAAGAACACGAAAGAGCCTATAAACTTGTCAGTAATTGCAGAACACAAACTGAAACTGAAACTGAACTTTTCTCAAATTCTTTTGCCAAAGAAAAACTCGAAAATCTATAAAAATGTATAAGCAACCACACAGTCCTAACCGTTCCTTAGGTTTCTTTCACCAATATGGAAATCAGTCCTCCGAGACGATGTTTATCCCCTCATTTAGCTCCGCCCCTCTCAAACAATATATAAGCAGGTAGAGAGTAAAATGCGAGCCAGTTTCAGCTAAGCTCCCAAGAAGCCAACATGGTAATTGAGGAAAGGTCAACAAGTTTGATTGACATACAATGATTTATAAACAGTTTCTTAAGAAGGTCAAACTATGTAAATTTATATCAGTGGTTTAGATTATTTTCATGCAATTTTTTATGTGGTATATTAGTTTTCTTTTGGAATCCAGTATTCATCACTTGCATTGTGTTCTTTTCTATGACTCACAAAAATATTGTGCGGAGACGAAACCTCTTAAATTAGACATTATCGAGTAAAGTTAGCTAGTGGTCACGTTTAATAGAAACGTCACAACTTTGGATATTTTCGCATAACAATAAATTGAAAATATAAATCACCGTAATAAGTAATATTCGAAAGCTTTTGGGGAGATTGTGTAATTACAAAAGTTTGAAGATATTAGCTTTAATACCATATGCAAATGTCAGAAAAAATAAACGACCATTTTTAATAAAATGACATATATTATTAGCTTAAATCGTAGAATTTTTTTCTGATTTCAAAAATATATAGTTTATCAACATTTCATTATTTCGCAGCTATTTAAAATGCTCACTTTTACTCCTCAAATTGGATTTATTTCTATTTCCATAAAATTAAAAAAATTCGTTTCTCATTCTCTCAGTTTGAATCCTTTTATTTCCTGATTGATTTTTATTAGTCTTTCTTTCTCAGGTTCCATATTTGTAGTTCATTTGCTTTGTTTTTTTAATGTCTGGTATGTTTGATTTTAACAAAAGTATAGGAAATTTTTCAATAACATTAACATTTCAGATGATTCCCCGAATGTGTCCTCTTCCATGATTGTCCATTATATTGCAATTTATTTGTAAGACAAATATCAGTTTTCCCTGTAAAGGGTTTTGATATAGAAGTTAGATATTTTGAAAGAGAATATTGTTGACAATAGGTCCAAGGGACAATCATGATTTGTAAATCTTAGAGAGATGACGAATTTTATAGTTATGACGGGTGACTTTAAGGATTTAAGGAGGCGATAGATGATGTGGGATCTTTCTTAAGTTGATATCTTCAAATTTTTCCTGATATTCACTTGTTTTCATGGCCACCGCATTTCCTTTATCTGCCTTTCGAATTGCGATAAGCTTTGCGTGCAGGCTTTGGAATCTTAAATTTGGTTTGGATTTTTTAAGAATTTCATTGGCTGTGATCCTGAATCACACTAGGTCTACCAAACAAAAATCCGATAATCTAGAGGAGAAATCTATAAGCAACCAAGCAATCTTAACCGCGACTCACCAGCAGGTTTATTGGCGAAACTTCAGCAAATTTTCTAGATTTGTAGATAGTATTACAATAGCCTGTGGCACTTGCAACTTGCAACACATTTATTTGACACTTGGTGTAAACGTAAAGAAACATTTTTATGTTACTTAACACGAATAACTGCGGACTAGCACCCTAAATATCAAATTCTATTCGTTTTAGGGCTGCGTCGCTCTCATCAGTATGACGTGGGTTCTTTCAATGAGTTTGTTCACTTTCCTGGTGCTGCCTAGCGGCGGTTTCTACTTCAATTCGACCGGAATGATGGCTTGCGAGCCGTTTTATCGTCGATCTTCGGTCCGTATTCTAGCCGCTTGCGGTTTTTATTTTCCTACGACAATGATCCTGATGTATTGCTACGGTTCCGCGTTCCACGTCAACAAACTTAGACTCAGGAAGTTCAGCAACGGCGGCACAGGATGCAACGCAATTTCCAGCCCGGACGGGGGCTACATCAAAACATCGAGCATGGAAAAGGTAAGTGAAATCTTACGGCACTCTACACCGTAAACGCAAATGCTGTAAAATCACTACAAAAATTATTGGTTATTCGATTCTTGTAAAATTCACAGTAAATTTAAATTTTGGATGTAACTTTACATAATTCGTGTAAAGAAATAGTTACAGATATTATGTATATACTATTACTATGCGTTTTTAAACGTAATAAGAGTTTTGTAAAATTAACGGAAACATACAAAATCTAATTTGTAACATGTTTTTAAATAGAATGTTAAATTTGTACGAAAAATAATAACATTGTTTGTGTGTGTTATAATAATCAAATTTATTTTCAACTGGTTCAACTGGAAAATGCAGTATGCAATACGAGAAGAAAAGTCAAAGGGTGGGAAATATCTCTGAAAACATCGGATTGCTCCCAAACCCGTGCCGTAAAATCCCGAAGTGGTTCGGATTCGTGGGAAACGAAACTGACGTGGTAAAGCGACACTTCCCGCACACTAGATCGGTGCGTAATTAGGTATTTTACAGACGGGAGTAGAAAAATAGTATTTATGATGGTCACAGCCTCCTAGACACAATTTTTAAAAATTAAAAAAATCCCACATCCTTGTGTCACCCGGTATATCACATATAATTTTTTTTTATTTGAAAATGATAAGCATTGCTTTACAAAATTGTTGTTTAAGTGTTGTCTAATGATAATCCTAAGAAACGTATTTAGTAACTTCTCAAAAAAATGAGGATAACGAGGCATTAAAACTCCATGTCGCAGGCATTTAAAAATTTTCTTGGTTTCGCATTTTGATATATAAGTCAAAAGAAAAAATACACAACATATTTTTTAATCACATAATTTTTTAAAATATTATTTTTAACAGATCAATTATAAAAAAATATTAAACTAACCAGAACAACCAACATATTTTATAGTACCCTTAATGCTAAAAATTCAAATCGACTGATTTGGTATGGACATCTGAAACGCATGGACAACACAAGACTTCCAAAGATGGCCATGAAATGGACACCACCATACACACCCAAGAAAAGAAGATTCAGGAAGATCTGGGCAGGAGTCCCAAAGGTACTGAGCAAAAGAGACCTAAAAAAAAAGGCAATAGGAAGATATCAGGCAATGGAAGCAGGTCATCGAACAACGTTACAGGACGTTCTAAAACTGATTTTATATATAATAATAACAATAATAATAATAATAATAATAATAATAATAATAATAATAATAATAATAACTTATAGCTTAAACAAACTTATAGCTCATAAAGGTCATAAAGGTATACCAAAAACTTATGATAAGCTGGAATCTGAAACCGAAATAATGTATCTTAACAACGCGTATTATAAATATCTAGGATATGAGCAGAATTTTAATATTAATCAGAACAATGCTAAGGCTAATATAGAAACTAAACTGCAAAACAGGGTGATAAAAATATTAAAAACGGAACTAAACGGAAAAAACAAAATTAAAGCTGTAAACACATGGGCGGTACCGATAATCACGTACACGTTTGGTATATTAAAATGGTCTAACACTGACTTGAAGAGGCTGAACAGGAAAATAAGGACCCTCATGATAGAGCATAGAATTCATCATCCTAAGGCATGCACTGAAAGGCTATACTTACCAAGATCGACGGGCGGAAGAGGATTGGCTGACCTCAACATACTGCATAGGCGTCAAGTAAATCAGTTAAAGAAGTTCTTCCACCGTAAAAAAGATACTTCGACGTTGCATAAGCTCGCTTGTCAGTCGGATAGATACTCAGCTGTAGATCTCAGAAAAAATGAAATAAAAGAGATACCAACACTTGATGAGGTAAAAGAGAAGTGGTTGAGTAAGCCCCTACATGGAAAATATCCAGCTAGTTTAAAAACTGCTGGGAGCGAATCAACAAATTGGTTAGTTAAGGGGCAGCTATTCGCTGAAACTGAAGGATTTATCACAGCTATTCAGGATGGAAGCATAGCGACTAGGAATTATAAGAAGTATATCCAAAAGATCAGAATAGATGATGATAAATGTCGTATGTGTGGACGGGTGCCAGAGACCATCGAACATGTAATAGCAGGATGTCAAACGCTAGCTCCGTCTGAATACACCAAAAGGCACAATTCAACAGCAAATATTGTACACCAAGAACTAGCAATGCTATGCAACCTAGGAGAGGGAAAATACAGTCCATATTTTAAATACATACCTGCTCCAGTTCTTGAGAACGAAAATTATCGGCTATACTGGGATACACCTATAGTAACAGATAAACCAATAGCCAGCAATAGACCAGACATTATTCTGCTGGATAAGGCTAATAAAAAGGCGTATTTCATCGACGTCTCACATCCCTGGAACAGAAAGAAAGATAAAAAATTAATAAGTATTACGACTTGGCAGAGGAATATAAAAAAATACTCACCCTAAAAGCAGTACATGTTATCCGTGTAATTATATCGGCCACTGAGCTAGTTACCAAGAAGCTTGTAGGATACCTGGAAAGACTGAATATAACGAATAAAACCATCGTTACAAAAATGCAAAAGTCCGTAATACTTGAAACTTGCAAAATCGTCCGAAAGAGCCTGAATATCCCGGAGACATAAACCTTCCCCCCCCCCAACTTTAGTGACTGGTTAATAAACCCCACTAAAGCTGCTACCCTAATAATAAATAATAATAATAATAATAATAATAATAATAAAGGTCTTTATTTCAATTATATACAATATAACATAAACAAGATAACATTTTGGCAAAAAGGCGAGATTCAGTCTACTAAGAATTAGTATACTGTTCTATCTAACCCGATAAAAGAGAGAAAAAAGAGTACTTGAATTTCCATTTTATAAGTTGTAACTTAAACAAAAAAAAATATTTCATTACATGTAGCGCACACAGTTACCTACAAATTTCCTTGATTTCCTCGTCCAGTAGTCTCTGAAAAAGATTAATTTTGAAGCGTTTTAGGTTGCTTAAATTTTTGATTTTATTTGGTAAATTATTTAAACACCCAACAATATTATATGAAAAGGAGCGTTTAAAAATTTCAGTTGCATGCATTGGCGCAGTAAGCATTCCCCTAAATCGTATATTAAGAATATGTACGTCACAGCGATAGCTTATTTTATTTGAAGGTATGAAGTAGACTTTCTACTTAGTATTTTTGAATATAGACGGCAGAATGAAGAAATATTCTATTTTTCATATTTAGCCAATTAACTCTGTGAACTGTGTGACTAATTCTGTCGAACTTTCGGATTCCATAAATCAACCTGATCAAGCTTAGTTGAGACAAAACCAGAGACTCACACAGCCTTGTTCTATGTTTTCTGCTTGAAAACTCACTATTTTGAAATATAAATTTTACCATTAAATATGCATTTTGTAAACATTTAGAAATATGCTCTGAAAATCTCAAATCCTTGTCCATTATCATTCCTAAGTTTCTTACCGAATCACAGCATGGCAACCCAATAAAAATCTCTCCCTATCACCCTTTCGGACAAAAATGATTACTGCGGACTTGCTAGCATTTAATTGTAAACAATGCTTAGTGGACATCTCAAAAACCATGTTCAAGTCGTAGTTTAGGGCTGCAACGGCTTGCTTAGCTTCACCTGGAAAAAAAGAAACGTAAATTTGTGTCGTCTGCATAATAATTATGACAACTTGACAAGCTAAAAGATTAATTGCGTTTTCTGACAAACCAATAAAATTTAACATTGAAATTAAAATTTGATAATTAAGGCTATCAGTCTAAAAGGGTCAGTAGTGTCAGCTTGCCTTCATCTGTAGCCCTAAATATATCATCGGTTATATGTAGTAGAGCTGTCCAGTTTTATATCCTGATTGAGTAACGGGGATAATCTTGTTATTATCTAAGTGAAACTGCATCTGCTCACATATAACCTTTTCCAAGATTTTTGAAAAGGTTGGTAAAATACTGATAGGGCCAATATTATCTAAGGTTGTTGGATTTGCAATTTTTGGTAACGGTATGACGAGTGCCTTTTTCCGCTGATTCGGGAAAATTGAATATTTTAAGCAATAGTTTATAATATGCGTGATATGATAAATTGATTGTAGAAATATTAATACCATCGCAACCTACTGTCTGAGTCTTAATAGTCTTAATTATCCGCAATACAACAGTTACAGTTACAGGGGTAAAAGAAAAAGTACGTGGGATTGAACTATTTTCTCTATTTGTATGATATGAAATTAAATCCTTATTAGGGAGTAAATCGGGAACAGACTCTATAAAGTGACTGTTTACATCCTCAACATTACATATATTCGCAGGTAAATTACCATTTTCCCCCTTCAATAGTCCCATAGTCCTCACGCCTGCCCATACATTCTTTTCATTGGCATTATTATAGAAAAAACTATTGCAATACACTTATTAATACACTTATTAGTCACTTCTTTCTTTCATTATCCTACAAGGCGGGGTTATCCTTAATTCGATTTTATTGTCCTTCTTTTTCTATAGGGCTTTTTTGTTCCGGGACTTCATAAATTTGAGTAAAAAAGGTTATCAAAAAACAAAAATAAAAGAAACACTTTGGGTGGACGAGCTGTAAAGAGCACATTTGGGCGAAACACACGAAACCGCCACCACATAATGCAGTCCCGATCGGTCCATAATAAATTGTCCGATGCCATTTTTACCCTGCAGACAAAACGAACCCGATAACGGTATCCCTCGGCAAGAAATAAATAATGTCGGTGAAAAAGTCGCGGTAAAACGGTGACAAACACTGACCCACTGCGGAATTTAAAGAGAGATCTTCGGAGGCGATTACTTTTATAAATTGCCCGATTCCCTTTTCTAAATGATGCAAAACGTTTCCTTGACAAGCGGTAATAAATCGACTAAAGCGTAATTGTACTGGGTGATCTGCGTAAGACGACACTCTACCCCTTCCGAGCAATGACAAGAGCATCCGAGATCCGAAAATATTTTGTCAACACATTTTTCTTCCTACGAAAACCAGAGTGATAAATAAAACACAACCTTGTTAACACCTAACAAAAAAGGTAAAAATTTGTCTTCTTCTTCACGTCAGGTTTAATATTTTTTTAGGCGTCCCATGGCATTGATTTCTCTTCTCGTTCTATGAATTTTTTCCGCTTACTTTTATTTTCCTTTAGAACCATGAACGACACCGGGTCCAGCACTGATCCTTGTGGAACACCATTAGGCACGCTTTGTGGTCGTGAAAAAGCGTTACCAAATATTCTTCTAAACGACCGGTGCTTTAGCTGTAGCTTTAGTATAAGGCAGAATCAAAAGGAAAATAAAAGTAAGAGGAAAAAATACGTAGAACGAGAAGAGAAATCAATGCCATGGAAGGCCTAGAAATTTATGTGTATCGCAAGTGTCTAAAACCTGAAGTGAAGAAGAAAGAAAACAAATTTTTACCTTTTTCGTGAGGTGTTAACGCGGTTAAGTTTTATTTATCACTCTGGTTTTCGTAGAAAGAAAAATGTGTCGACAATATATTCCGGGATATCATTCCATTCACTTGTTGAACTCCATGATCTCACTTGGCATTTTCAATGCTCTCACTCCGAAAACACTTCGAACACTGGAAGGTTATCGGCGATGCGTGCGGTATTTATAACCTGCGCTGAAGGTGGTAGCGGTGCTGCTTCTGCGGGAGGGGAGACGACTCCACCCTCGGAATTGTCACGTTGTTTATTTGACCCGATCGTAGTTGCGATGTTCCCGTTGGCTGCTGCGTATCGCTTTGCCGTTTGACTATCGTTTTCCATATATTGGATAAATGCAGAGCATCGTCTCTCGTATTTAGGTGTCCGGACTTTTCTATCTCGATAGCCTCTCGTATAATCCTGGTGCTAAAATCAGAAATTTTAGGTATTTGTTTACAAGTGCCGAAATCAATTTTATTGCCTGTTTGGTGTTGGTGCTGGAATAAAGCCGATATTATTTGTTTATTTCTTATGGCTAGTCAATGTTCCTCGAGCTTGGCTGAAATCCTCCTATTGGTCTGTCCTACGTACGTCAAGCTGCACGATTCGCAAGCCACACTATATACTCCTTGGTTTTCCAAAGTAATTGTTTGTTTTGGGTTTCTTAAAATTGCTCCAATGGTATGATCCGGTTTGTGTGCCGTAGATATCTCGTGTTTCCGTAATATCCGGCCAATTCTGTCAGTAACCCCCTTGATGTATGGCAGAACAGCGATCGATCTTTCTTTCATCCTGCACTCTCTGTTGCGGCTGCTGTTGTTCGCTTATTGCCCTGCTGATGGTGCGCCTTTGGTATCCGTTTTGCCGAAGACGAGTACTAATTTTCTTCAGTTCATCATCTCTGTTCTTCTCGTATCTGTGATGGCTGGTGGTGAGATTCAGCGTTCAGATATATATTGGTGTGTGTTGGTTTTTTATAGACGGTGTGTTCCAAGTGTCCATCTTCGTTCTTTGTGATGTGTACATCTAGAAATTGCAGACTGTTATCCTTTTGAAGCTCCATTGTGAATTGTATCCTTGGATTAATAGAATTCAGATGGTCTAGGAATTTCAAAAGCTCCTCCTTGCCAAAAGACCATATAATAAATACGTCAACGTATCTTGTCCATAGTTTTGGCCTCAGATGTTCCATCTGTTTTGCTTTCTTTTCAAAATAAATCATGAAGAGGTAAGCAATCACAGGTGAGAGAGATGATCCCATTGATGCTCCATCCACTTGTCGATAAATTTTCCCATTGTACGTAAAGCAAGCATTTTTCAGGCAGTGTCTTGACAGATCCGTTATATACGGCGGAAGATCTTCGTTCGCTTTTATAAGCAGGAGTGCCTCATCTACTGGATTGCTCGGGTATAGGGATTTTAAGCTTGCCATAATGTCGTCCTTGAGTGTTCGAAGTGTTTTCGGAGCACGAGCATTGAAGATGCCAAGTGAGATCTTGGCGAAACGTCTGCAGGATTTGGATTTCAGTCCGGAATGTATTGTCAACTTATTTTTCCATTCGTGAATCATATTATATATATATATATATATATATATATATATATATATATATATATATATATATATATATATATATATATATATATATATATATATATCGCTTCCAGAGTTTTTAGCACTTACAATTTTCCATCTTGGAATGTGTTTCAAAAGGCTTCACTTGACTTCAACTTGGAACTGTTTTCCATCTGACATGCATTTTGTGGTAGTAAGCAATGAGAACAAGTCAGGACTACACATCGCTTGCATTTCGTAAGTAACATGACATTCGATCATTGAAACAGTTTACCCTGAGAGATTGTCTGAATTTAAACGCGGTTTGGACAGCATTTTGCTTAACGGCAATAACTAAATATTGAACAGTTTTGCACCCGACCCGTTTATTAAAAGTTTATTGACTAACTTCTTGAGGTTAAGTTAAATGCCAACGGTATTTTTTTTTGCAAAACATTTTCAACGTCTTTAAATCCTATACAAAAAGAGTTCTTCACTTAG